TCTCTCTCTCTCTCTCTCTCTCTCTCTCTCTCCCTCTCTCCCTCTCTCCTCCTCTCTCTCCCTCTCTGTGTGAACCATGAATATCCGATCTCCACGTCAAAAACCTCTCATCCCTACGACAACCCGTATTTTCAGGCGAGCGATATCGCGCCCATCGAGGCTGCGGGGGTCATTCCGGCGGAATCGCAAGCCAAGCCCACGGCCACGGTGGGGAAACCGAGCGAGGAGAAGGAGGTGAACGTCACAGACGCTACCCCCATCCTCAGTCGTGTGGCGAGGCTCCGGTTGATGTATGAGAAAAACAAAGTGAAGCGATCCCCCGCTTCACTTTCGACGCGTAAGGTGGAGAAGGACGGAGCGACAGCGCCGACTCAGGCTCCCGGCGAGGTTACGTCTGCGGCGGCGGACCCTGCTCCAACCGTTACCGCTGACGACGTTGCTGCCGCAAGCCCCTTCGAGAACACCACCGCCCCCGATGTCACCGAGGGGGACACGACCGACGGGAATGTGCGCGAACCTACTGAGGAACCGGATATCGCTCAAGACGAAGAGCCGGTCAAGGCCATGGATCCTTCTGCGAGGAAGACAAAGGTTGAGGGTCCCTTCCCCGAGTCAACAACGGAGACAGTTCTCCTGAGGATATTTGGAGACGGGCGTGACCGTCCCGCAGTCCTGCCGACAAACGATACGCCGTCGGACAAGGCCGAGGAGGGACCTCCTGCTGCCGTGGCTGGTGATGAAACGTGTGCATATGGCGATGAATCACCAAGCTCGGCCATCGTGCACCCCGAGGCGCGGCCATCCTACGGCGATGCCAGTCAACCTGCAACGGAGACTGCCACGGGATTGATAGCGACCATCCAATCTTCTGGTGGTGGTGACGCAGACACGTCAACGGCGCGCCTCGAGGACAATTCCACCCCGGTGAGCATGGAGATACTGGAGGCACTGAACGAAGTTGGTGCTGCGGGCGAAGCGACGATCGACGCGAGTGTCAACATTCCCTTGTAGGCGAGAAAGCAGAACGGCTGTTGGATGTTGTTCGTCTCGTGTCCAGTGTGATGCGGTTTGTTGTCCAAATGGTGTGCATTTTTCCGGTCATTGAAAGCCGACGCGCGTCCGTTGTCTTGTCCTCACCAGTGGGATGCTTGTACCAGTTCGTGATGTCCCCGCTGTCGCTTCTTTAAAACCCTTCGACCGTGTACATATTCCTGCAGGACGTCGGTATCGCACCCTACAAGCAAACCTCTTCGGTGGCAGCTGACGACGCCCCGATCGATGTTATCCCGGGGCCTACCGTTGCCGACCCCGCTGATTCTGTGACAACCAAACAGAGACCAAAGAAGGCAGACGGCGAGACCGCCGGGGACGTTCCGTCGAGAACGGCTGAAGATGTGCATGCCACTAAGAAGGCGCCAGTCGTGGCGGGGTCGGTGTCCGCGCTGATATCGGCGCTCGAGGCGAGTTCAGCGGCACAAACGGAGGAAGAAGCGGCCGCCCCAGTCGTGGACGAGGTACTGCAATCTGCCACCGACGACCGTTCTCCTTCAGCTCCTGCGGAGGCGACGTCCCTTGTGGACGGTGCATCCGTGGTCGTTGAATCGGCCGCCATGGACTCTGCTGTATCCGTGGACAAGACGGCGGCCCCGGTTTCGAGCGCATCAGGACCAGCTCCCGCTGTCATAGACGAGGTACCCGAACGGGCGGCCGCGGCCGAGGTCCCATCAAGTACCGGCGAGGTCACGGAGGAGCCAGACGGCACGGAAGCCGACGGCTTGCCGTCTTCGGCGTTGGCTGGAGAGGCAATTGCTGCATCCATCAACGTCGATGAGGCGGTTCTGCCTGGCCCAGGTGATGTGGTGCCGGAGGCTGTGGTGGACGTTGCGACGCCGGTGTTAGAAGTCGAGCCGGTGTCAGAGGTGGGCGAGGTAGCGGCCACGAGCTCTGATGCTGGTGCTGAGGAGGCGGACTCGCCTATGCCGTCGCTCGTGGAAGATATGTCTCCAGCGGGAGAGGAGGAAGCAGAGACGACTGAGTTGGATGGCGGTACGGTCGAGAAGCCGATCGAGGTGAGTTTGTGAGGTGGTTTAGGTAGAGGTCAGGCTTGGTGGACTTTGGACGTTGTGAATCAATAGGAAAACCTGAACGGGTGAGGCGATGTGTAGCCATCATTTGGCCGAAATATTGATGTGGTTAAGCTATTCGGCATCAACTGAAGACGTTTGATGATTGTCGTGCGAAACACTGTCGTTCACGCTACCGGTTGTATCCTGTAGCTCTTGCTCGCTGTTAGTGTAATGGGATCCACTAGCACTTGACGTCCTCGTTCTCCTGGCTGTCGTTCTATTGGACCGTGTACGTACGCATTTGCAGGCCGTCGATGGCGTACCCTCCGAGCAACCCACATCGGTGGCACTAGAAGACTCCCCGATCGATGTTGTCCCGGGAACCACTGTGACGGAGCCGTCTGTGTCCGTGGCGGCTGAGGAGAGACCGAAGCAGGCAGACAGCGATACCGCCGGGGATGTGGATGCCACTGAGAAGGTGCCAGTGGCGGCGGGGTCGGTGTCCGCATTGGTGTCGGCGCTCGAGGAGAATCCGGCGGCACAATCGGAGGAAGAGGCGGCCGCCCCCGCCGTGGATGAGGTTCCACCGTCGGCCACCGACGAATGTTCTCCTACAGCTCCTGTGGAAGCGATGTCCGTTGTAGACGATGCATCCGTGATCGTTGAGGCGGCACCTGTGGACCCTGCCGCACCCGTGGAGGATACACCGGCCGTGGCGTCGAGCGTATCAGGACCAACTCAGGCTGTCATAGACGAGGTACCCGAACCGGCGGTGGCGACCGAGGTCCCATCGAGTATCGGTGGGTTCACGGAGGAGCCGAAGGGCACGGAAGCCGACGGCTTGCCGTGCTCGGCGCTGGCCGCAGGGGCAAGTGCTGCGTCCATCGCCGTCGATGAGCCGGTCCTGTCTGGCCCGGATGGTGCGGTGCCGGAGGCTGTGATGGACGTGGCGACGCCGGTGTCAGAGGTGGGTGAGGTAGCGGCGACGTCATCTGGTACTGATGCAGAGGAGGCAGACCCGTCTATTCCGCCGCTGGTGGACGATTTGTCTCCAGCGGGACCGGAGGAAACAGGGGTGGCGGAGTTGAATGGTGGTGCGGCCGAGGAGCCGATCGAGGCGAGTGTGTGAAGTGTTTCCGGTCGAGGTTAGACTAGGCGATATTTGGACGTCTAGCGTCAATGTCGACACCTGAGCGGATGGTACGATGTGCACTCAGGACTAGGCCGGTACGAAGAATGCAGACGTTCGGCATCAGGGTATGACGACGAAGGAAGTTGTTTGGTTGCTCTTCTCAACGTCGCCGTTCACGCTAGCTATCGTATCGCGTGGCTCTCGCTCGCTAGTGCTACTGTATACATCGGCGCTTGACATCCTCGTTCTCCCGCCTGTTGCGCTGTGGGACCCTGCGTGCATGGGTTGTTCAGGACGTCGGTGGCACACCCTCCGAGCAACCCGCATCGGTGGCAGCTGACGACGCCCCGATCAATATTGTGCCGGAGGCTGCGGTGGACGTGTCGGCTCCGATGTTGCAAGTCGAGCCGGTGTCACAGGTGCACGAGCTAGCGGCGACGACGTCTGGTACTGATGGTGGCGATGCAGACCCATCTATGCCAGCGCTCGTTGACATCTTGTCTGCAACGACACCGGAGGAAGCAGAGGCAGCGGAGTTGGATGGTGGTGCTGTCGAGGAGCCGATCGAGGCGAGTGTGTGAAGTGTTTCCGGTCGAGGTTAGACTAGGCGATATT